ACTCTTAGGAACCATCTGGTCCATATGCGATCTCCTCGCGGACGACGATAATCCATGAGAACATGTTTATCTCCAGAGTCGAAGAGGGTATGTAGGATCTCGAAACCTCATGACAAGTTTCGAGACACGCTCTCTGAACCCTTTCTGTCAAGACGCATCTGAGTTTCGAGAGAGGATATGTGGCTGGAATTCTATATTCCAGTGTCGGGCAATCATGAGAAGTGAATTCTGAACATCTACAAATTCGAGAATAAACTATTTATTTATTTATTTATTTACAAAGCGATTCGGTAGAACGATCTTCGCGTGGTACACAGCATCCTTTTGGCGGCCACAGCCTCAACGTGTCCTGTAACGTTCCATGGTCAAGTGACGCGATAAGCCCCAGATGCTTCAAGTGGGTGACATTCCACATTTGCAGATATGCAAATGTGGTATGCGTCGTAACGATTCGGATCACCAGTGGGGAGAACGGCGCATTTTGTTGCTGTTTACAGGGAGTTGCCATTGATGGAGCAGTCGTATTGCTGCTCTAGCACTGTTTACAGCCTGTCAGCGTCTTCAAAACTAGACATTTCTGAACATAGATTGAGATCGTTAGCAGAGACTAAGCAGTCGGTTTGAAGCGCTGCAGGGATTCCATCAATGTAGAGCTTGAAGAGTTCTGGCCCGAGAATGAAGCCTTGTAGGATGCCACTAGTTATAGACGCCGACAGACAGGGTCAGAATGAATAGGAATCGGCGGAGCTGTCAAGGGCCTCCCCTCTTGTTTTTTACATCTTAATAAAACAAACAGCAGATACTGAGCAAAGGAGATCAAATACACTGTGTCCTTTACATTTGGGAAAATGTGTGATGTTCATCTCTGTTCCGGCTTTGAAGCAAAAAACATTTATCACCGACCACTGCTTTTCTACGCTTCCACAAAAGCCGAATGAAAGAAGTTAACGACCATGATGATTTGTAAATGGAACAATGGTTTATTACGGGTAAAAAAGCAATACTTAACAAGCCCCGTGGGATGGAAATAATTGCGAAAAGTGAATTGCATGATAAAGTGAAAAGCGTTTTTCTGAACTCACCAACAACTCATGTAGAATAGCGGAGATGTTCGAGTATTAGATGTATAAATCCGTAAATCCGTTGGTTGGGAGTTTGGCAAGATACCGTTTGATTGCATTTTGTAGCCCCTGGTTAACAACTCATAAAATGAAATGTAAATGAGACAGTACATCGTCAACTTCTTTTTTAAATACCGCCAGATTTTGAACAGAGTCGACATAATTAGGGAGGGCGTTCCAACGCTGGCACACGCGGAGGGAAAAGAAATTTCCTCGACATTCAAGCCGGCTATACTGAATTGTCAGTTTTAGGAGGTGACCACTTATGTTAGTGTTGTGGTTCAATTCCAGCAGCGGACGACAAATATGGTTTGGGTTCTTCAGAATTTGGGAAACGATTATGAGATCCGCCGCAAAAGCCGATATCAACTGCTGTACATTCTTAGAGATTTCATTCTAAGCTGATAGGGCAGATGAAAGAGGCACCTGACGTTTTGGGTTGCCCTTCGTTGAGGATTCTCGAGAGCAACAAAATCCTGTTTCTGCCACGGCTGCCACGCCGCATAGGAAATTCCACGTGCGGTCGCAGGTAGGCGGTAAGCATTTGGGGAAAGATTGAGGGTTCAAACCGACCGAAGGTTCTGCGATGAAGACCGAGGTGTTGATTGCCGGTTCTCGTCGCCTTCTCTGCTTGTTTTGAACACATGAGATCTTCCTGTACTAATACACCCAGGTCACGCTCCTGAGCGACCTTCTCCAAGGTGTGGTCTCCAAGCATGTAAGCGCTCACCGGCTGGTGATGCTGATGTATCATCTTGCACTTAGCTATGTTCAATTGAAGCCTGTTCCTCTTTGACCATTCGTAAATGCAATCTAAGTCATCTTAGAGCAGATCGTGATTTGGCTTGTTACGAATCGCCCGCCATATCTTGACGTCATCGGCAAAAAGCAGGATATTTGAGGAGATAACTCTTGATAGGTCGTTGATAAACACCAGGAATAAGCGCGGTCCCAGCACTGAGCCTTGTGGGACACCACATTCCACCTCAGTAGGGTTAGAGAGTGATCCCCTAACACGCACTTGAAGCTTCTGTTGGTGAAGGAAGCTGCCAATCCAACCAAGTACAGGATCTCCGATTCCGTAGCTCTGTAGCCGTTGAAGTAGGGTGCGGTGATCAAGACGGTCGAAAACTTTGGAGAAGTCCAGCTAGATGACGTCATGATGTATACCCGAGTATGTAAACAATGAACTTTCGCCCGAATAATAATAAGAACTAATGTGATAATCTTCCATTAACTGTGTGCCTCTTGAACCGGTCCCCATGAAGCTGTGGTACTGTTGGAGAAGTTACATGCTACTTGGGGAAATATTTATCCCATTCCTCATCCACGGTGGAACAATACATGACTTTATTAGTCTTTCAACTATGGTGGTAGTCTACTTAATCAGTAAACCAGAAGCGTGCAACAACAATCAGAGGCAACTTATATCCAATCTTTGAACTGTGCGCCATTCGCACATCTTCAGGTGTCGACATAAGGAAAGGCAGTTCTTGATGTGGAGAGGTGGGTCATCTGGTACCTATGTACAGCGCCGGATGCTCCCTATCAACTACCACTACACTGTCAAGGCATCAAAGAAAGGGGAAAATGGATAAGGTCCCACGGCATCTGAAGCTTAAGCTGAATTTCGTGTAGTTAAAGTCACTCGATAAATGGCCTCCTTAAGCCATTCGTGTACTAGTAAAACAAGCCTTATGCCCATGAAACTAATCATTTTTTCTAGGCAACTTATGGCATAGCGATAGTAAATTGGCTTGTTAAATTATCAAAGTCACCTTGTGTTCTGTCAAGTTCGCATGCGTATGAATCCAGTCTCTCCTTGTGTGGCTTCATGCACGCACCATCACCATCATTCGTCAATGGACATTACTCAATGGGACACCCTGTGTGGAAGCACAGGGCTAAATGTATGAGTCTATGAGGAACAGGGAGTGCATTCAGGTATGCTCCCGAGCAGCTTGACACATTGGTGTTAACGGAAAGCAGACAGGAATGAGAGCGTCAGTGATAAATGTCACCAACAGCTTACCTGACTAAAGCTGGACAACCTAGGATGAGGTGTTTGAGCGTTCTCCATTTGCACCGATTTCCCAGAGCTTTTGGCGGAAAGCATTACCATTGGTTTGCA